TGTGTAACGAAAGTGCAAATTTGACGCTTTATATACAAGAAAAATTATTAAACTTTAAAACACGACGGATTTGATATGTTGTAATGGCAAAATATGCAACAGAATGTAAAAACAAATTTGAATATTTTTATGAATTTTTTAGATTAACATATTTCAGTTTCCAAGTTTTTTATTTCAACAAAAATCTAGTGTAGTTTTTTTACATATATTAAATATTTTTTGTAATTAGAAATAGAATTCTGAAGTTAGAATTATATAATAAAATTTATAAGACATTTAAATTTATTTTGGAAATAAATTAGAAGCAAATTAGACAAGAATAACGTTTTGTAATTTATACAAAAAATATTTAGTGTAACAAAAATTAGTAAAAACTTGTCATAAAAATCAGAATTTCTTTTATTATTTGTACCTTTAGCGCTGTACGTATGTGATATTTTTGTGAAAAAAATCGATTCGAATAAATTCATAGCCATACATGTTTGTATAATGGAAGATATGGAACACGATGCGTATCTAAAACGCTGTTACTTCTGTCATGGCTGATGTTAATATTTGCGAATGCGCGATAAATGAATATTTGAAAAGGGAGTAAAAATACACCAGACATATATAGTTTATGAACTATTGTCCCAAACCAGATATATTCCAAAATCGGTATACCATTGTCGATTTCGAACACACTATATATCTACTGTAAACATATGGAAATGGTTTCTGACGTTTCTATATTTATTCGCGCAGTAGAAATATCCATCTGTCACATCTATCGAAAAATCGGAGCGAAATTATACTACCACTTTTAATCTCTGCCCATACTCTAAAAAACTTCCAACATTCCACTCCTCGCCTATTTCAATCACAGCCTATTTCAACCACGCTACTTTTCCCCCAGCGACTAGCGCTTTTTATCATCTCACCCGGAGCGAGCGACGATAATTGCTTGAATTTCTAAGGCCCTTGGGCAGCTGAAGATCACCGAGTTAGGCATCACGCGGAGACAAGCGTTTAATTTACCTGGACCAAGTTCGCGCGCGAAGTCCTTGTCGCAGTCCGTGGCGCCGAATGAAATTGCGAAAGTTGTTCGTCTAGAACGACAATGGCGCAAACGAGGTGTGAAGCAAGGCTATGAAATATAACGGCACGACGACGACGACAACGAATCTAACGAATAGAACTCGCTTGAAGGCCTCTTCGGTCGGCTTTTTATTATGCAGCCGTGTAACATCGCCAATCGATATCACGCGCAATCTCTCATCTACCAAATCGATACACGCACATATATATTCAGAAGGAGAAACGTTTTACTAGGTGCACGAGCACCATCGGCGCCGGCACTGGCCGACTTGGGCCGAGTTATGAATAATGTATGCGATAAATTTGCGTCGCACGCATGCAAGCACGCTCCGGTAATTCCATTAGCTGTACCATTTTATCGTCCGATACCGTGGATTCAATTGAGTAACTCCTTTCACGCCGCCAAGTACTATTCCGTTATTCCCTACGACCACCCTTGCGCCACGACAAGTTGGCGGGCGTGGGATATAGTACGTGATCTCGATATTTCTCGCGCGCGATAAACGTCGTGTGGCATGTTAATTAGTTTATTAACGTCTACGTTGAATTCCTGCGGCAATCATTTGCTTCTGTTTGTTAATAAGTGAAGTAGTGAAATGAAAAAAGTTAATTAGTTAAATAAATGTAAATTAAATATTAATATAATATATACTATGTATATTTAATATATCTGAAGAAGTGATAAAATAAAGATTACTTTAAAATACTTTTTTATTTTTACTGTTTTATATTTTCTAAAAAGAAATTTTTGGAATTTATAATATATTTAAAGAAAGGGTTTGGTATTCAATTTTAATTATCGAAGAAATGAAAGAAAAAATGAGAGATTTTAATAATTTTTTTTATTTTTAGGTGCAAATTTTTAGTTTTATAGATTAAAAGCTGTTTTTTAAAAATCTAGATTAAAAGTTTCATAAATGAAAAGCTTTTTTTAAATCTAGTATTTTCTTGCAAAGCGAAAATCTTGTGTTATATTTTTAGAGCTGCATACAGTTCTAATAATTCATGTCTTTCATAATACATGATGCTATCCTATTATCTTCATTTATATTACAAATCAGCCATGTCTTTCTACCTTCACAAAATAATTCATTAATCATTTTAATTAATCGGCGAAACGACGAAAACCATACTTTTATTACTTCCGCCGCTTCATCTAGCAAGCTCTAATTATCTTTCTACATTCAACAATCTATTAAATGTTAGAAACAACTATATAACCATGCAACTTGAAATAATTGTATAAACATTCATATTTTATGTCAAAGTTTCCGTTTGAAAACATGTTTGTTATGTATATATGTATTTTTAATTATTTTCTCGATTCATTGCATAGTATATGTATCGCGCGTATCATAAACTTCATAATATATAAATGTTTGAACTAGTTTTACTTCTCTTTATTACAAACGCGGTTATATGTGTGTACCTCAATAATAATAATATGTAATTGAATATTTTCTGTTCGATATGCACAAATTTCATCTTTTGCACTTATTTAATTCAAAGAGGTATTAAAGCATCTCATTAAAGCATTGAGTTTGATTAATAATACATCTCATCCCCATTAAGCGATTAACACATAATATAATGCATATAGCTGTAGGTGTATATTCATGTATTTTCATAAATTTAAACAATGTATTATGCTCTCTTCTTTATCTTATTTTATAAAAAATTCTATATTTTATTCTAACAATTTATTATCTCAAGTTTGCGTTTAACTTCTTATTATTATCACATTATACATTATTCTCGTTTTTCACGAATTTCTATTTTGTTTAATATTTGTAAATGTTTAATTAATTTCGTTTAATATTTGTGAATATTTGTGATTCTATTTCATTTAATCAAACGAATTATTGACGATATAAAAATACGGAGCAATTTTATTTTTACATGAAATTTTTCAAATTCAAGATTTTGTTTCTATAAAATATTTTTCATTTTAAGTCCCTGTTAAATATACAACTACAATGGCTTTTAAAAAGAAATATTTTAGAAAAAATTAAAATTAGTATATAGTATAAATTGAAAATTTTGTTTCATTCGTATTGAAAATATTTTTTCACTCATAAAGAAAGACACGGAAATGTGTTTTTTGATTTTGATGGATTTTCAATATATTGTTGACTAGATTAAAATAAGAGACACGAAAATTTTGATTACACATACGCAGAATTTTTTCGAAAAGTTTTTACTTCCATCATCATCTCCTATTACAGAAAAATACGAGTAAAATGTGCTGCATGAAGAATCGAGCGCATGAACGAGTACGAAATACACGTATAAAAGCGTTTGTAAATGAAATCTCGATAACGATATCTTGGAAAATAATTTTATCATAGATAATTGAATTCATATTCAAATGATCTTTAATTTAGTCATAACCAATTTTGAAATTTAAAAAAGATATGAAGTAATGAGAATATATTAAAAAAAATAAAAATTTTAATTGTGTTTATCGTTATTATAAATTACTCTTAAAACCATTTTTTTCGGCTTTATTTAAAAATTGTTTTCCATCTTTTATAGTTTCGACTATATTCACTTCAAAGGAAAAAAATCGATTATTACACACGCACGCACACACACACACACACACACACACACACACACACACACACACACACACACACACACACACACCACAAAACACACACACACACATACGCGCGCGCGCGCACACACTAATACGTGTCTCTTATTTTGGTTTAGACAACACATTAAGCTCGTCAAAATTGGAGAGGGACACTTCCGTCATTTCATTTCATTCCGTCAATTCCATACCTGTCCTTGTCAATTTCATTTAAATATGTATTATGTTGATGACTTTTACAAAATATATCTATAGTTTCAGAAAAGTTGTGTATATTTTCTCGCAAATTTCTTCATTTCTAGATGCTCATCTGCAATTGAAAGCTCAAATTATAAATCACCTTCCTTTTTCAGTTTACGTCGACCATACGCGGTGAAGGAATTGTATGAATATCGCAGGCAAACAGCAAACAATCGACTTCCTCTGCGTTTACGAAGCGCAAACATGAGCCATAAATCTCTACGTTTCTTTCTCGTACCTCGCTTTCTCTTTGACTAGAACAGCAGTGGTATATCTCTCTTCCACTTCGAACAGTGAACGTCGCGTTGCAATTAACGTAATTAAACTGAATCTTAATTATCGCAGACGGCAGTAAATGAGATTTTATCTGTGGTATAAGGTACCACTTCGCTGTTTCGTATGCGTGTATGCCTCTTCTACTAAAAGCCTATTCCTCATCTCTTATTATCATCATTTCCATTCTCTCCTACAATATTGATTGTATAAATGGATTTTGTAGATATTGCAATTAATAACGATTGCTGACAAGAGTTTCTAAGTAATTATTCGCAAAACGAAATGGTAAATTTTTCTTTTTACGAAAAAGTCAATAAAGAATACGAAAAGTGTGTTTGAATAAAAGTTTAATGTTCATTTCTATCAATGCAGATTAATTTTAATCTTGGTTTAATTTACCTGTTCCTAATTCCTGGAATTAGAGAAAGATAAAAAGTGAATTAAACCGAGATTAAAGTTAATCTGTATTGATAGAAACAGGCAGAAACGTATCAATGCAGCTTTAATATTTTTGGAACTTTCAAAAAAGTTCAGCGAAAAAAATTGAGCTATATAATAACGTTTTGCTAAATAACGCGGTGCGAGATATTGCACACTGGAAACTGCGAGGAAACGCTGAAAATATTCGACCGACTTAAACAAGAGCACATTAATAGCAATTTCACGATACTTTGTCTCATTTCTTCTTCGCTTCAAAGTACTTTTTCACGATTTTCCTAACGGTCCTCTAACGCCGTGAATGCCATCCCATTTTTCCATTTCAGACACGGTTCATGCAGGTTCAATTAGAGAGCGGGAAAATAATTACCTTCCGTGCACATGAAGAGTATGGCAGCAATTGAGAGCCTCGCTTGCCATCTCAGAGCCATTTCCGCGACTGTTTTAGGAGATGCTTACACTTTGATACTAAAACGATTCACATCCTCTTTACGAGATAGCTAACAATCACCATCCACTCACTGATATACCCCACCAGACAACATCGGGTCGGGTTATCACGTCAACTCGTTCTGGCTTTTACGCCGATTAACACACGTTTTCCCACATCCGTATGCCGCGCGGTTGGAACGAGATAACTGGTAGTCACGATTAGTTTGAGATTTCAATCCGCTCGGAGGCAGGGATGAAATCGCTACGATCGACGGTCTATGCGCCAGATTTCCCGCAAGAGGTGACACGTATATATATACATATATATATGCGCGCTGCACTATTATCCGCACTTTGGTGTGTCGTCTATCCCCTGTAGTCGTCTTTCCACGTAGGCGATAACGTGCACGGAAATGATTATGGCGAAACTTTCGACGAGCGGCGTGCCGCGTGTTGCGAAACTTTTCACCTATATCCGCTCCGCTTCCGCGGAGTCTTCGCTAAAGTCTTCGCTCTTCTCGACGATTTAAATCTTCCTGTCGCTGAAAGAATCGCGTAGTAAGTGTCCTGGAGGAACTCGGCGATTTGTAGTGTCGCGTGACGATTTCAAAGATTTTTTTTTTTTAACTGCGAATCAGGGAGTCCCTTCATGGGGCGGTCCCAGCCTCTGTCGCGCGATCGCGCGCTGTCCGCAACGTCCCAAGAATCGACGATTGCCGTGAAGTCGCGAGACACATAGCGAGACACGATTGGCTCACTTCTCTTTCTCTCTTCGGCTTTGTTCTCGAGTCTTTTAGAGCAGCGACAAAGCACCGGTGATCGATACGGAGCGACCGATCGATCGCGCGCCAGTCAACTCGAAAGTGTAACTTCCGTAAGCACTGCTCGTTTCCGTTCCGTCGCTCTCGAGATCGCTCGAGATCGCGCAGCCAGCGGTCCAGTCGCAGAAACGTTCACCGCATAACTGTTTCCGTTGCAATCCACGTCATAGTCCCTTTTTCTGTGATCACAATTAATAATTCATCGGCTGAAACTGTTCTTCCGTCTCAGTCCCCCCCTTTTTTTTTCTTTTCCCGTCTTTCTTTCTGGTCCTCTGCCTCCGCGCCGGCTACGTTTTGATGATTAATATGAAATTCCACTCGCCGCGAATCTCCATGCCGATCTCTCGGCTCGCGAGCTGTCACCCTCGCGTTACTTTTTTAAGAAATTGTCACGATCGTTCGCGTACGCGACATTGTATATAGCATGACGGCACGCACCACGTCTTGTTTCGGTGGCAGATTTACCCTGACTGGGGAGATTCTCGGCCGTAGGAGCATGCGCGCTTCCGATCCACCCCCTGTGACGATGGAAGAGGGCAGAGGGTCCACGAACACATACACACATAGAGATGTACACCGACGCGCGCACACACTCACCCCCCGGGGGAGGACGTCGACACACGTTCGTTCGGGAGGGCGTACGCACACGCACGTACATGTACATGTGTGTGTGATAAGGGAAACCTCTCTCTTTCTCTCTCTCTCCTCCCTTTCTCCCCCTATCCCTTCTCTGTTTTTCTCTCTCTCTCTCTCTCTCTCTCTCTCTCTCTCTCTCTCGTCTCTCTGTCTCCTTATCCTCCAGGACGTACGGCACAGTGTGTCACGGGCAGAAACTGTGGCAGGGCGTGCAAGGAGTGCAGAATCAAGCACGAAATCTACAGTGCTCTTAGAGATGTTGCGATGGGCTTAAAGATTTACTCGCGTCTCCACTTGTCAATCCAATTACGAATATATAGCAGACCCTTCGATTTCTCCAAGGTTTTTTTCTCAGCGGTATGTGGAAAAGTTCCAGCGACATAATGATGAGAGCTTAGAAAAGAAGGATCCCTATTGGTGTCCTGTATTTCTAAACTGTTAATTATCATATAATTGATAGCCATATAATTGATTGTATCAATTATGGGTATGACTAATATTAACATTATATTACATTTAATGGATTAATTAATAACAAAATAATAACATATCATTAACATATCATAAAATTATAACACCGCGAATTGATTTTGAAGAAATTTCTACGTTTACAAAGATAAATAAAAATAATTTTGTCTCTAAAATATTTAAAGTCCTACTAGTTCGATTCAACAAATTATATTTAATACATTTTAAATCGTTCTTTAACATCATTAAATTTTTGTAGAATAATTCCAATATTATCTTTGATAATTTTCGATATTATATTATTTCACGAGCGAATAGAATTTCGTAGAATCGTTGAAACATAAATTTAATTAAATCCCAAATAAAAAGTTAATTAAAAATTAGGATGTAACTTTGAACATCAGTCATTTTGATATCAATATTCATCTTATTAAATAAAAAATGTATTTCTACATTATTCAATTTCTATTCTTATAAATATATCCTTTTGTATCTTCTCTCGTTCATTTGTACTTCTCTGGTAGCCACAAACACCAAGAATCGAAACTATCTCTACTTGGGAATACTCCGAGAATGCAAGTAACACAAGAACTCGAGCAACGTGGCTAGTTCGACTAAAGGCAACAGGAATATGAATTATAAGGAAACAAGTAATGCGAACGGAATCGCTCGACGAATACGAAGAAAATGCATAAAACTTTCGGAGTACACTTAAAAAGCCATAGACGATACGTGCGGACTCTATTCGCCTCAGAAGACACGAATGCTCATCGATATCCGAGAAATGTATATTTGTTCTTGTATTTATCTTCTTCTGTATTGCATATTATTGATTGCGGTACATATATATACCGTAGCTGTTCTTAAATTACACGAGGGAGAGAGAGGAGGCAATCGTTAGTTTTATATTATGTGAGCATCAGAGAATATAACATATAAAATTAATATAAAAACGAAGAAAGATATTTTTTTTAAAGAATTATATATACAGAAAGTTACATAAAAGGTCCTTTTAGAGACATATAGATATAGTCTTGAAAAATAAATTGCTTAATTATAACATAAATTTTAAAAATTTATTTTAAAAGTAAGTATACAGATCATTCGTGTTCTGCGCATTTCTTTCCCTTGAAAAACTAGGAGTATCAAATAATTAGTTGTAACAGTTATATGTAATTTTTTAAATACATTCCTTACAAATAAAGTATAGGTGTGTAAAAATTCTAAATATATAATAACTATTACTTTGTATGTTTGTAAAAGTGATGAAAATTAATCTAGGCCACGACACAGGATCAGAAAATTATCGTGTGTATTAAGAGTGATTGTTGATGTTGATAATGGTAAACTTGATTACTTTTACGTAACGCGTGCTATGTGTAAATGTACACTATGTACAGGCTGCAGACAATGAAGTATCATGGGTAGAATTTTTGTTTCACGAAAAGTATAATGCTGCGTATAGACGAAACTAATCATACTATCAGTGATCCAATTGATACAGACGAATATGTCAGCCGCGTTTTCAAAGTATGTCAACGGTGCATGAACTTTTTACACGAAAGTGTTATTGGTAATTTTGAAAATTGCTCGTATTTTTATTTCGCTAGCTATATCGATCCGCGGTCGTGACGGGCGTTATTTTTACGCGATGAAGCAATGTTGGAAAATACCGACATGAATTCTTATCCTAGAAAGATAATTGATACAAATATTCTCGGAAATATTTTTGGAATACTGATAGACTTGTATCTTTATTAAAGTTAATAGTTTGCGTTTACTTAAAAATAGCATTTTAATCAAAATATCTCCATTATAAATATTTGTAAAATATTTAGAAGATATTTAAAAAATATCTTCTGTATCTAATGATTTCAATAAAATTTATTTCGGTATAAAAATATTTGTGTGTCTGCTATACGAATAAGTTGTGTGAATTAACTACCAAAATTTATATTCGTTATTAAGTTTTTTAAATATTATTATCAATAATATTGTCGAAATAGCTTATTGTCACATAATATCTAAAAATAATTTAAATGTAATTTCTAAAAATATATCATTAAATGTTTACATTGAGACAAAGAGCCCAAAGAACTTGAGAGAACTTTGTTTTGTTGTATCTTTTACTTTCATTTGAATAAAAATATACAATAAAATAGAAATCTGTAATAATTGGAAAAACAACATATTAGCAGGCAAATTTCATATTTCACCCCATCCGTCGAGTGAAAAATACAGATTTACAGTATAAACGCTAAAGTAAATCCAACATTTGTTTATATGGAACGCGCACCCGATTTGCGCGTAAATTTGCCACGATTCAAAACTTTTAACTGGTTTACCGCGTCGCGACAAAATGGAAGTAAATATCGTGAGAGATTTTCCTACCGTTATTCGACGCGACTTAACGCGACCGAATTGGGGACCCGTGCATTGAAAATACTTCATCGTTTGATTTACGTTTGCATGTATCATCGCTTTTAAGCTGCCAGTAGTAATCAGCCGAACGCGACCGGCCAACATTTCCCCCGATAGCGCTTTTTCACGGTGGAAACGTGGTGAAACTTTTACTTCCGTTTCAGCGCGGATGGAAATTCTGTCATCCCGAATCCCATGTGTAACAACCATTAACGTTCCCAATAGCGAGCATATTTTTTTCGCCGCTTTTTAAGATACAAACATGCAATTTTAATGTCACTCTAATAGTATTATCCAAATGCACAAGTTTCGAGTTATAATTTTGGAGCTTTAGCGTCGAGTCGTCTCAATTTTTTGATTGGAATAATAAGCAGCATGTCAAATAGCGACGGATATTTACAAAAAGGGACTTGCAAATCAGTTTTTTCTCTCTCTATCACATTTCTATATGTTATATATATATGTGTGCGCGCGCGCGCGCGCGTGTGTGTGTGTTATAAATTATGTTATATTTTATTGTATAATATTGCGCTACAATATAACGTTACGATATTATGAAAGTACATTTGTGTTGCATTGATGCAATATGAGCTGGATTATCATGTAATATTCTGCTAAATTTTTGCGCTCGAGGGGATTTATCCCAGAGGGCTTAATAAATAACACCCTCTTCCTCTTTTTCCCGCTGTGTTTTATACTTATTGACATGTAT